GCCCCTTCCGCCCCTTCCGCCCCTTCCGCCCCTTCCGCCCCTTCCGCCCCTTCCGCCCCTTCCGCCCCTTCCGCCCCTTCCGCCCCTTCCGCCCCTTCCGCCCCTTCCGCCCCTTCCGCCCCTTCCGCCCCTTCCGCCCCTTCCGCCCCTTCCGCCCCTTCCCGCCCCTTCCCGCCCCTTCCGCCCCTTCCGCCCCTTCCGCCCCTTCCGCCCCTTCCGCCCCTTCCGCCCTTCCGCCCCTTCCGCCCTTCCGCCCCTTCCGCCCCTTCCGCCCCTCCGCCTTCCGCCCCTTCCGCCCCTTCCGCCCCTTCCGCCCCTTCCGCCCCTTCCGCCCCTTCCGCCCCTTCCGCCGCCCCTTCCGCCCCTTCCCGCCCCCTTCCGCCCCTTTCCGCCCCTTCCGCCCCTTCCGCCCCTTCCGCCCCTTCCGCCCCTTCCGCCCCTTCCGCCCCTTCCGCCCCTTCCGCCCCTTCCGCCCCGTCCGTCCGCCCCTTCCGCCCCTTCCGCCCCTTCCGCCCCTTCCGCCCCTTCCGCCCCTTCCGCCCCTTCCGCCCCTTCCGCCCCTTCCGCCCCTTCCGCCCCTTCCGCCCCTTCCGCCCCTTCCGCCCCTTCCGCCCCTTCCGCCCTTCCGCCCCTTCCGCCCCTTCGCCCCTCCGCCCCTTCCGCCCCTTCCGCCTTCCGCCCCTTCCGCCCCTTCCGCCCCTTCCCCCCTTCCGCCCCCTTCGCCCCTCCGCCCCTTCCGCCCCTACCTTCCGCCCCTTCCCCCCTTCCGCCCCTTCCGCCCCTTCCGCCCCTTCGCGCCACCTTCCGCCCCTTCCGCCCCTTCCGCCCCTTCCGCCCCTTCCGCCCCTTTCCGCCCCTTCCGCCCCTTCCGCCCCTTCCGCCCCTTCCGCCCCTTCCGCCCCTTCGCCCCTTCCGCCCCTTCCCGCCCCTTCCGCCCTTCGCCCCCTCCGCCCCCTTCCGCCCCTTCCGCCCCTTCCGCCCCTTTCCGCCCCTTTCCGCCCCTTCCGCCCTTGCCCCTTCCGGCCCCTTCCGCCCCTTCCGCCCCCTTTCCGCCCCTTTCCGCCCCTTTCCGCCCCTTCCGCCCCTTCCGCCCCTTCCGCCCCTTCCGCCCCTTCCGCCCCTTCCGCCCCCCTTCCGCCCCTTCCGTCCCCCTTCCGCCCCTTCCGCCCCCTTCCGCCCCTTCCGCCCCTTCCGCCCCTTCCGCCCTTCCGCCCCCCCCTTCCGCCCCTTCCGCCCCTTCCGCCCCTTCCGCCCCTTCCGCCCCTTCCGCCCCTTCCGCCCCTTCCGCCCCTTCCGCCCCTTCCGCCCCTTCCGCCCCTTCCGCCCCTTCCGCCCCTTCCGCCCCTTCCGCCCCTTCCGCCCACTCCGCCCCTTCCGCCCATTCCGCCCCTTCCGCCCACTCCGCCCCTTCCGCCCATTCCGCCCCTTCCGCCCACTCCGCCCCTTCCGCCCATTCCGCCCCTTCCGCCCCTTCCGCCCCTTCCGCCCCTTCCGCCCCTTCCGCCCCTTCCGCCCCTTCCGCCCCTTCCGCCCCTTCCGCCCCTTCCGCCCCTTCCGCCCATTCCGCCCCTTCCGCCCATTGCGCCCCTTCCGCCCACTCCGCCCCTTCCGCCCCTTCCGCCCCTTCCGCCCCTTCCGCCCCTTCCGCCCCTTCCGCCCCTTCCGCCCATTCCGCCCCTTCCGCCCATTCCGCCCCTTCCGCCCATTCCGCCCCTTCCGCCCATTCCGCCCCTTCCGCCCACTCCGCCCCTTCCGCCCATTCCGCCCCTTCCGCCCACTCCGCCCCTTCCGCCCATTCCGCCCCTTCCGCCCATTCCGCCCCTTCCGCCCATTCCGCCCCTTCCGCCCATTCCGCCCCTTCCGCACACTCCGCCCCTTCCGCCCACTCCGCCCCTTCCGCCCACTCCGCCCCTTCCGCCCATTCCGCCCCTTCCGCCCCTTCCGCCCCTTCCGCCCCTTCCGCCCCTTCCGCCCCTTCCGCCCCTTCCGCCCCTTCCGCCCATTTCCGCCCCTTCCGCCCATTCCGCCCCTTCCGCCCATTCCGCCCCTTCCGCCCATTCCGCCCCTTCCGCCCATTCCGCCCCTTCCGCCCACTCCGCCCCTTCCGCCCATTCCGCCCCTTCCGCCCATTCCGCCCCTTCCGCCCACTCCGCCCCTTCCGCCCATTCCGCCCCTTCCGCCCATTCCGCCCCTTCCGCCCATTCCGCCCCTTCCGCCCATTCCGCCCCTTCCGCCCATTCCGCCCCTTCCGCCCATTCCGCCCCTTCCGCCCATTCCGCCCCTTCCGCCCATTCCGCCCATTCCGCCCCTTCCGCCCATTCCGCCCCTTCCGCCCATTCCGCCCCTTCCGCCCATTCCGCCCCTTCCGCCCATTCCGCCCCTTCCGCCCATACCGCCCCTTCCGCCCACTCCGCCCCTTCCGCCCATTCCGCCCCTTCCGCCCATTCCGCCCCTTCCGCCCGCTCCGCCCCTTCCGCCCATTCCGCCCCTTCCGCCCATTCCGCCCCTTCCGCCCATTCCGCCCCTTCCGCCCATTCCGCCCCTTCCGCCCATTCCGCCCCTTCCGCCCATTCCGCCCCTTCCGCCCATTCCGCCCCTTCCGCCCACTCCGCCCCTTCCGCCCACTCCGCCCCTTCCGCCCATTCCGCCCCTTCCGCCCATTCCGCCCCTTCCGCCCATTCCGCCCCTTCCGCCCATTCCGCCCCTTCCGCCCATTCCGCCCCTTCCGCCCATTCCGCCCCTTCCGCCCATTCCGCCCCTTCCGCCCATTCCGCCCCTTCCGCCCATTCCGCCCCTTCCGCCCATTCCGCCCACTCCGCCCCTTCCGCCCATTCCGCCCCTTCCGCCCATTCCGCCCCTTCCGCCCATTCCGCCCCTTCCGCCCCTTCCGCCCATTCCGCCCCTTCCGCCCACTCCGCCCCTTCCGCCCATTCCGCCCCTTCCGCCCACTCCGCCCCTTCCGCCCATTCCGCCCCTTCCGCCCCTTCCGCCCCTTCCGCCCCTTCCGCCCCTTCCGCCCCTTCCGCCCCTTCCGCCCCTTCCGCCCCTTCCGCCCCTTCCGCCCATTCCGCCCCTTCCGCCCATTCCGCCCCTTCCGCCCATTCCGCCCCTTCCGCCCATTCCGCCCCTTCCGCCCACTCCGCCCCTTCCGCCCATTCCGCCCCTTCCGCCCATTCCGCCCCTTCCGCCCATTCCGCCCCTTCCGCCCATTCCGCCCCTTCCGCCCATTCCGCCCCTTCCGCCCATTCCGCCCCTTCCGCCCATTCCGCCCCTTCCGCCCATTCCGCCCCTTCCGCCCCTTCCGCCCATTCCGCCCCTTCCGCCCATTCCGCCCCTTCCGCCCATTCCGCCCCTTCCGCCCATTCCGCCCCTTCCGCCCATTCCGCCCCTTCCGCCCATTCCGCCCCTTCCGCCCATTCCGCCCCTTCCGCCCATTCCGCCCCTTCCGCCCATTCCGCCCCTTCCGCCCATTCCGCCCCTTCCGCCCACTCCGCCCCTTCCGCCCATTCCGCCCCTTCCGCCCATTCCGCCCCTTCCGCCCATTCCGCCCCTTCCGCCCCTTCCGCCCATTCCGCCCCTTCCGCCCACTCCGCCCCTTCCGCCCATTCCGCCCCTTCCGCCCACTCCGCCCCTTCCGCCCATTCCGCCCCTTCCGCCCCTTCCGCCCCTTCCGCCCCTTCCGCCCCTTCCGCCCCTTCCGCCCCTTCCGCCCCTTCCGCCCCTTCCGCCCCTTCCGCCCCTTCCGCCCATTCCGCCCCTTCCGCCCATTCCGCCCCTTCCGCCCATTCCGCCCCTTCCGCCCATTCCGCCCCTTCCGCCCACTCCGCCCCTTCCGCCCATTCCGCCCCTTCCGCCCATTCCGCCCCTTCCGCCCATTCCGCCCCTTCCGCCCATTCCGCCCCTTCCGCCCATTCCGCCCCTTCCGCCCATTCCGCCCCTTCCGCCCATTCCGCCCCTTCCGCCCATTCCGCCCCTTCCGCCCATTCCGCCCCTTCCGCCCATTCCGCCCCTTCCGCCCATTCCGCCCCTTCCGCCCATTCCGCCCCTTCCGCCCATTCCGCCCCTTCCGCCCATTCCGCCCCTTCCGCCCATTCCGCCCCTTCCGCCCCTCCCCCTGCACACAACACACCCCCCTTGCAGATTGACTCGTCGCCACTTACCTGGGCGTGTCCGTAAGCCGAGTACCATATGCATGGATGCTGGGGAGGGAGAGGAGGAGCTTTTCACGAGTTCTTTGGAAGATTGCCAGTGAGGCAATGTGTTTCCAAGCCAAGTAAACACGTTAAGAGGCCTAGTAAAGTGCAATCACACTGTACTCATTTTGCAAATTAGTCAGTCAGTTAAATTTCTGTTTCTAGTGGTTTTAACGGACCCACCCACGCATCACTTGTTTGTTACACCATTCTTGTACCAAAATACAAATGAGAGTGTGTATACACTGAATAGCTCAAGCAGCCTGTGCAAAATGTTCATCGTGGTATACTGTACATTGTATCGTACCCTTGGGGAAAATATAATGTACAGTGCTGCGCCCCTGAATCTAGCCACAGCTTAAAAGACCAAAGAAGAAAGGATTCTGTCACTCTGTCCATCAAAACGGTACTGTGCGATGCAGATGTCTCAGCACTTCCAGATGCCAAGCACCAGCGTGGCACAGTGCTGCACCTGAAACCTGCACGATGATGTGCAACCACGTTCACGATCATGTAATTGAGTCGACTCAAAAGCAGATGCCAAGCACCAGCTTGGCACCAGCGTGGCACCAGCGTGGCACAGTGCTGCACCTGAAACCTGCACGATGATGTGCAACCACGTTCACGATCATGTAGGCCCTTAGAACCCTTAGAAGGAAGCATGGTGGAGTGGAACGAGGGAGGAGTGCGGGGCTGGCGAGCGGCAGAGAGGACACTCTGGCTTCTCATTGCACCCCCTGGAAGGAGCGGGCGGTACCGGTAGATGGGAAGGAGGGAGAGCGGGATAGATCAGGAGGAGGTGACAGGTTAGGGCGAGGGAAGCGAGAGCGGCAGAGAGAGCATTCGGGCTTCTCGTTGCACCACTCTGCAATGCACCCCCTGGAAGGAGCGGGCGGTACCGGTAGATGGGAAGGAGGGAGAGCGGGATAGATCAGGAGGAGGTGACAGGTTAGGGCGAGGGAAGCAAGAGCGGCAGAGAGAGCATTCGGGCTTCTCGTTGCACCACTCTGCAATGCACCCCCTGGAAGGAGCGGGCGGTAGATGGAATGGAGGGAGAAAAGAGAGAGAGATTAGGCGGCGGTGGCAAAGGGAGAGCGGCAAAGAGGGCACTCGGGCTTCTTGTTGCACGACTCTGCTATGCACCCCCTGGGAGGAGCGGGCGGTAGATGAATGGGAAGGGAAAGGGAGAGAAATTAGGCTGTGATGGCATTGAACACAAGACGTCATGAGACGAGGGCGAGGAAAGGGAGGGTGGAGGAGAGGACACTCGGGCTTCTCGTTTGCACCACTCTGCTATGCACCCCCTGGGAGGAGTGGGAAGGAAGTTAAGGAGGAGGAGAGGGAGAAGGAGAGGGAGGACGAAGAAGAGACGATGATGAGCATTCGTTGTACTAGCAGAAGAGAGGGATGGCCATTAGGGCAGCAAGCCGGGTGGGTGGGGAGTAGAGCAACAGGCATACAAGCAGAAGATGTGGCCGCGGGGACAGCAGGTGGGGTGCGGTGGTGGAGGGAAGAGTGGAAAACAAGATGGGAAGGTGGAAGAAACGGAATAGAGCAACAGGCATACCAGCAGAAGATGTGACCGCACGGGCAGCAGGTGGGGTGGGAGCGAGACGCAAGGCACAGGGAGCACCGTCCACTCGCCTCACTCCCTGCCTCCCCCTCCACTTCACCCTCTTGAAACTGTTGAGACCCCTCCGTCTCCTCGCCCCACCCCTTGCTGGACTCTGGTGGAGCATCAGCGGCTGCCAGTGGGGCTGACGATGGGTTTTGTATGGGGGGATGGGATGGGATGGGATGGGATAGGATGGGGCAAGGCACAGGGAGCACCGACCACTAGCCTCGCTCTCCTCCTCCCCCTCCACTTCACCCCCTTGAGCTTCTTGAGACGCCTCCGTCTCCTCGCCCCACCCGTTGCTGGACTCAGGTGGAGCATCGGCGGCTGCCAGTGGGGCTGACGATGGGTGGGGAAGAAGAAGAGAAGACGAGAAGAGTTGGGCATACCAGGAGATGTGACCGCAGGGGCAGCAGGTGGGGCGGTATTGAGACGTCTCAAAATCAATCTTTTATCACGTGGAAGAAGAAGAGAAGACGAGAAGGGTTGGGCATACCAGGAGGAGATGTGACCGCAGGGGCAGCAGGTGGGGTGGTAGCGGGAAGAGAGAGGGAAAAGATATGAGGAAGAAGGGGAGTAAGACGAGGAGGAGATGTCGAGCATACCAGGAGGAGATGAGAGCAGGTGGGGTGGGAGCGAGCAGCAAGGCACAGGGAGCATTTTTGAGGCGCCTCAAAAATCGGCACAGGGAGCATGCCTCACTTCATGCCTCACATCATGCCTCACTTCATGCCTCACTTCATGCCTCACTTCATGCCTCACATCATGCCTCAATTCATGCCTCGAGTCATGTCATGCCTCACCAGTGGGTGGTGGCGGTACGGTATGCGCCAGGGGTCTGTGTTGCAGCAGAGAGCGGCGCAGCCAATCAGAGGAGAGAATCGCGAGCTGAATGAAGAGGAAGAATGCGAGCATGTGATATCTGCCGTGGGTGGGAGGGGGAGGAGGATGGGGGGGAGAGAGGGCACGAGATGGGTGGGAAGGGGAGATGCATGGCATGGGGACATGGGATAATGGGAAGGACATGGGGCAGCAGGAGAGGATGCCGAGGGGGATGACTTCTGAAGCGTCTAAAAAGGATGCTGAGGGGGATGACTTTCGAGACGTCTCAAAAGGATGCTGAGGGGGATGAAGAGGAACAAGGCGAGCATGTGGTACCTGCCATGGCATGGGTGAGAGCGGTGGCACGGGTGTGATGGAGGAGCAGAGGGCACGGGTGGAATGGAATGGGAGGGGAATGGGTGGCTAGCACCGTGGCACGCGAACCTGCCAACCTGACTTTTGAGTCAACTCAGAAGTCAGAATGGGTGGCTAGCACCGTGGCACGTGAACCTGCCAACCTGACTTTTGAGTCGACTCAGAAGTCAGAATGGGTGGCTAGCACCGTGGCACGTGAACCTGCCAACCACACGAACCTGCCAACCACACGAACCTGCCAACCACACAAACCTGCCAGCCACACGAACCTGGGGGAGTAAGCAGGAGGTTGGGCAGTGTAAATGTATCGCACGCCTGTCACCCGCTTGGCTACATGCAGGTACGACCCGTGCCAGTAGAAGAGCAGCAGATGCGCCCTCCCCAGCAGCATCAACACATCCCCCCCTCGCACTGCCACCCCCGCCCACACCACCAGCGCCCTCCTCCCCATCTCCCACACTCTCTCCCTCACTCGCTCCCTCACACAGCCCACCCAGTGCCACCCTGTCGCCACAGCTGCCACCCATCCCAACCCCCTTCCACCGCTCACACGTGCTGCTTCCACGCCTCCTCCCTCTACTGAAACCCCCTCTATTGCGCCCTCCTCTCTCGCCCTAAGGCTGGATGTGTGGCTGTGAGGTGCCTCCTCCTCCGCCCCTGCAAGTGTTGTTCCATTCCCTACTCCTCCTCTCCCCCCTCCGCCTGTTGTCCCCCCTGTGCCCCCCTCGCCTACTCCCCCCGCCCCTACTCCCCCCTCCCCTGTTCCCCCTTCCCCTGCTGCTGCGAGCGCCCTTCCCCGGGCAGCAGCGCGGGCGCTGATGTGAGCTGCTACAGCCGGGAGCAGCGCATGCAGCAGCACAAGAGAGAGGCGACGCGCTGGGGCAGGTGGCAAGTTGTAAGCACCTGACACCTGGGAGGGGAGGGGAAGGAAGGGGGATGGATGTGGGAACGGGGTAATATTGCGGGTGCTGATGTGACGGGGGGAAGGTTGTAGCGACCTGACACCTGGAGTGGGGGATGGGTGTGGAAAAGGGGGATGGGTGTGGAAAAAGGGGAAGGGAATGGGTGTGGAAAAGGGGGGATGGGTGTGGAAAAAGGGGGATGGGTGTGGAAAAAGGGGAAGGGAATGGGTGTGGAAAAGGGGGGATGGGTGTGGAAAAGGGGGGATGGGTGTGGAAAAGGGCAGATGGGTGGCGATGTGAGCTGCTACAGCCACGACAGATGGGAAGGGCCATGGTTGTAGCTGCCTGCCTGATACCCGAGAAGGGCGGGGGATGGCGGAGAGGGGGGGATGGCGGAGAGGGGGGGATGGCGGAGAGGGGGGGATGGCGGAGAGGGGGCAAACGGGCGCTGGTGTGAGCTGGCACAGCCGGGGGAGCAGGGAGTGCAGCAGCACGAGAAAAAGGCGACGCGCAAGGGTGGGGCGCAGGTTGTAGCGGCCTGGTACCTGGGAAGGGCGGGAGAAAGGGAAGGAAGAGTGGAGATAGGGAGGGGATAGATGTGACGTGAGCTGCTACAGCCGGGAGGAGGGAGTGCAGAGGCACGAGGGAGAGGCGGCGAGCGGTGGGTGAGTGGAGATTGGAGATAGAGATGGGGCAGATGTGATGTGAGCTGCCACTGCGGAGTGAAGCAAGGTTGTCTCAACAAGACCGGCATGAGAGGGGAGGGGGTGCTGGGAGGAGAGGAGGAGGGAGGAACAGCAGCGGCATGAGAAGCATCACCTGCAGGATATCGCAGTACTCTTCGCCTAGAGTCCACGTTTGAGGCGCCTCAACAGAGAGACATCACCTCACCTGCACTAATATGAGGTGACTTTTGAGTCGACTCAGAAGCATCACCTGCACTAATATGAGGTGACTTTTGAGTCGACTCAGAAGCATCACCTGCACTAATATGAGGTGACTTTTGAGTCGACTCAGAAGCATCACCTGCACTAATATGAGGTGACTTTTGAGTCGACTCAGAAGCATCACCTGCACTAATATGAGGTGACTTTTGAGTCGACTCAGAAGCATCACCTGCACTAATATGAGGTGACTTTTGAGTCGACTCAGAAGCATCACCTGCACTAATATGAGGTGACTTTTGAGTCGACTCAGAAGCATCACCTGCACTAATATGAGGTGACTTTTGAGTCGACTCAGAAGCATCACCTGCACTAATATGAGGTGACTTTTGAGTCGACTCAGAAGCATCACCTGCACTAATATGAGGTGACTTTTGAGTCGACTCAGAAGCATCACCTGCACTAATATGAGGTGACTTTTGAGTCGACTCAGAAGCATCACCTGCACTAATATGAGGTGACTTTTGAGTCGACTCAGAAGCATCACCTGCACTATGTCGCAGTACTCCCTTCCCCTAGAGTCCACGTTTGAGGCGCCTCAACAGAGAGACATCACCTCACCTGCACTATGTCGCAGTACTCCTCCCCTAGAGTCCTGCTGCCGGCGCCGGTGGTCACGAGATAGTAGAGACACCGCGCCGCCACGCGGATCGGACCGCCCCATTGGCCCGCGACGCGGTGGCCGAGCTGCGAGGCAATGGCGTCGTGACACATGTCGCCCAGCGACGCCGCGTACAGCTCGTCCTTCTCCGCGGCGCGCATCACCTCCGGCTGCGCCGCTGGCGGAAACTGCACGCCGGGGGAAGCCGCCAGTGGGGAAGCCGCCGGCGGGGCATCGGGCCGCCTACTGCTGACGTTATGCTGTGCCGAAGCAGACATGCCTAATCCCTCACGCCCCTAGATTCTTACGGAGACTCAGAGACCCAAGGGAGAATTTAGGCTGAGTACAGCGTGCTGGAGTCCCGAGAGGTCTCTTTGTGGATTTAAGACTCGAATTAGCCTTGTTTCAGCTTCTGTGACTGGTATTCCTGCTAGCCAGAATGAACGACTAGGATACTGCGATTCGGCTGCCCTAGCCTTCAACACAACTACACATTTGAAAAAGTTCGACAAAAAGCTATGTTGTAAATACGCGATTTTGGTGCTCCGGGTTTCGCTATACTTGGCAGCAGAACCACTTCATGTATTTTGTGGTGCTAGAAAACTCACCCGCAGCTCAGCTGAACATACATTCTGTACTTGAATATGAGGTGATTTGATCATCGATATATTTTATGTTACCTTTCATCAAAATATGCAGAAAAAATCACCATCTACCTCAGACCATGGTGCTTGCTATTGTATATTTTCTCGATATTCCTTAGCGCGCCCTGCAACATCGCGTACAGCAGCAGCCGTTGTTCGCCCGTTACTGCTAACGGGGCTTCGCCGACTTCGCGCGCACTGTTTCACCAAACCTCGCACTGCTGGCCCGGCCGTGTCGTGTCGGCCTACGCTTCGGGACTAGCCCGTGTCAGAATCCCAACCACTAGACCATTGGGATAAAGGGGCTTGTTAAGTAGCGGGTCAGTGCGCCCATAACCCCCCAGGCCAACGTGCCTGTAACCCTTCCCTAGGATCAATCGGGGATCACCAGTGGACCTCTGACACCCCCCCGCACTGGGATGCCCGAAGTGCATACACCGGGATTCGAACCCGAGACCTTCGCTCTAATACCATGTCAGAATCCTAACCACTAGACCATTGGGATAAAAGGGCTTGTTAAGTAGCGGGTCAGTGCGCCCATAACCCCCCAGGCCAACGTGCCTGTAACCCTTCCCTAGGATCAATCGGGGATCACCAGTGGACCTCTGACAGCCCGAGCCTCGCTGCCAGCGTAGCACTAGCTAGCTCGCATGCACCTCGTTACCGTTTGCATGTTTCGCGTATAAATGTTCGCTCATGCTTTCGCTCACATTCTGTACTCGTTTGACACCTTAATGCAATTCTCGCTACTTCGATTCATTGCACCCGTAACACTTGGTATTCATAGCCTCTTTCTTTTCGGACGGCGCATCTCCGCACCCCAGGAAATCAACTTTTGATTTTTCACTCGAAGGGACTCACGCACCTTAGCCTCTAGGAGCCGATGTCCTCGCGTTCTCTCGTAAACGCGTGCAGCCACGATTGCGCCTAGACTAAGACGAGCCGACGCCCTTCGGAATGGCCGAACATATCGACATCACTACCCTCACGCAGGAGCCTGGACGAGCTGCTGCGACAACTGCACGAAAGCTCCGAAGAAATCGCGGCACTAACGGCGGAACGCACTTCCCTAACAAAATGACGTCGCAAGAGCACAATCTCAAGCACCTGGCACTCCGATACAGCCTGCACCACAGGCATCGCAACACGGGAAGTGTGGGGCAACCCGCGAGCACGGCCAGTGATGGCGTCGTCCGCCACGACGGAGACGACGACCACGGCACGACACACCCCGACGCGACGAATGCGGCCAGGAACCAGCCTCGAGTCACAATTTCTGTGCCGGCCGGCGAATCAGCTCTACCGTCGCCGATGCCGCTGAAGTCGCAGCGTCCGCCATGCTTCGACCCGAGTCAACGGGGTGGTCCTACCGTTCAGGCGTGGCTCTTCACGTTGAATGTTTTCTTCGACGCGAACTACGTCTCGGAGGATGCGTCGAAGATTCGTTACGCCGTGTCGCTGCTGCAAGGACCCGCCATGGACTGGTGGCATGTCATCTGTCAAACTTATTTGCTATAGTCTGTGTAGGCTGTAGTGGGGTAAACAATATGGGGTACAACACTTTTAGGTTTTCCTACTTATACCCACCTGTTTCCTAGTGCATTCATCCCTCATTCTTTCACATGGTATCAGAGCAGGTTCCCTAGTGGGAACGTTTCCTAGGGCCCACCGAAAATCGATTTTTTTTTTCTGCCCGGAGCGCGCTTCGCCCCTACCCGAGTCGCGCCCCGTGCCCCTGCCCTTAGCGGCCTGTCGCGCCCTCTTACGGCCCCTCGCGGCCCCTTACCCGCTCCCTCGCAGCCCCTCTCACGGCCCCTCGCGGCCCCTTCGCGGCTCCCTCGCGGCCCCTCGCACGGCCCCTCGCGGCCCCTCGCGGCCCCTCTCACGGCCCCTCGCGGCCCCTCGCGGCCCCTCGCGGCCCCTCGCGGCCCCTCTCACGGCCCCTCGCGGCCCCGTCGCGGCTCCCTCGCGGCCCCTCGCGGCCCCTCGCGGCCCCTCGCGGCCCCTTGCGGCCCCTTCGTGGCCCGTCGCGGTCCCTTCTCAGCCGCCGCCGCCCCTGCCCCGGCCGCAGCAGCCGCCACCACCGACAGCAGCCGCCGCCGCCGCCGACAGCAGCTGCCGCCGCCGCCGCCGACGGCAGCATCCGCCGCCGCCGCCCCTGTCCCGGCCGCAGCAGCTGCCGCCGCCGACAGCAGCAGCCGCCGTCGCCGACAGCAACAGCCGCCGCCGCCGCCGCCGACACCAGCAGCCGCCGCCGCCGCTGCCGTGTCAGCCGCCGCCGCCCCTGCCCGCCTCGGCACCCTGGCCCCTGGAGCAGCCGCCGCTGCTGCAGCTGTCCCTGGCCCCTGGAGCAGCCGCCCCTGCAGCAGCCGCCCCTGGCCTCTGGAGCAGCAGTCCCTGCAGCAGCCGCGGAGCCCTCGCCCTGCGGTAGCGGCCTCACCATTGCCGCTGTCGTACTCCTGCCCTTCTTGCCACTGGTGAGCACTGCTGTTACTGCTGTTACTGCTGCTCTTGCTACTACTGCTCTTTCTACTGCTACTGCTGCTCCTGGCGTGGCCAGATGCAGCTCCAGCGCCGTCCGCGTGAGTCCCTCGCCCCCCATCAACTTCGTGAGTGGTGCACTACTTGGGGTTGTCGGGGTGGCCGTAGTGAGAGTCGTTCAGTAGTTCGGGAGCTGCTTGTAGTGGCCAGGTGCAGCTGCAGCGTAGTCCGCGCGCGGTCCTTTCGCCCCAGCAGCTTCGTGAGTGGTACGTTCAGCGTGGAGGGTCACGGAGTACTGCTCGCTGTCCGTACGTCATTCGCACTGGTGCTCGGACTGGTCGGCCTTGCGGGACGTTTGGTCACACAGAGTCCCGCTGCTTCGCCCGTCTGAGCGACGCCTGGCGTACGGAGTTTGGCGACGCCGCTGAGCTCCCCGACTGGGTGGAGCTGCTTAGGCAGAGGGTAGATATCTATGCTCTTGACTATGATGCTATCCTCACTACCATATATGCATTGCCTACTAGTGATGTGGGTGACTGTTACTTGTGTGTTCCGCCTGACCCGGGCATTGAGGCTGCTGCTCTAGGTGCTGGTGAGGCTGCTGCTCTAGGTGCTAGTGCGTCTACTCCTCCAGGTGCTGGTGAGTCTGCTGCCCCAGGTGCTGGTGAGTCTGCTGCCCCAGGTGCTGGTGAGTCTGCTCTCTCAGGTACCTCGTCGTCTCAGGTTTTACACACCTTCACCCTTGACTTGGGTGCTTCCCGCTCCTTCTTTCGAGACCGCACCACACTCACGCCGCTTAGTCGGCCGGTTGCAGTCTCCCTGGCAGACCCCTCTGGGGGTCCTGTCCTTGCCCACTTCTCCACTGTCTTACCGTGTCCAGCGGCCCCTTCTGGCTCCCTGTTAGGTCTTTACCTCCCCTCGTTCTCTACGAACTTGGTGAGTGGTGCTGACCTACAGGATGGAGGGGTTGACCAGTTCACTCCTGCGCGTCAGCGAGTGACCCACTGTACGTGTGCTCGGACGGGCCGACACTTGGCCACGTTTACCCGTCAGCTAGGGTCGAGCCTGTACACACTGACTACTGAGTCTCCTCAGGTAGCTGCGTCGAGTCAGGCGTTTGCTGCAGCGTCCAGGTCTGGTCCTGAGTCTGCCCCCTGCTCGTGTCGTCTCCTGTCTCACCAGACTCTCCTCTGGCACCACCGCCTTGGTCACCCCTCCTTGCCTCGTCTCCGAGGCATGGCCTCTCGTTTCCTTGTCTCGGGTCTCCCCCGGTCCCTCCCTTCTCTTCCTCCGGGGCCTGCCCCCACCTGCGTTCCCTGCGTCGAGGGGCGGCAGCGCGTCGCTCCTCACTCCTCCGATTTTCCTCCGACAGAGGCTCCGCTGCAGACGCTTCACATGGACGTGTGGGGCCCAGCCCGCGTCCGCGGACAGGGTCACGAGCGTTACTTCCTGCTGGTGGTTGACGACTACTCGCGTTACACCACACTCTTCCCCTTGCGCAGCAAGGGTGAGATCACTGAGGTGTTGATCGACTGGATCCGCGCAGCTCGTCTCCAGCTCAGAGAGAGTTTCGGCTCGGACCTTCCTGTCCTGCGTCTGCACTCCGACAGAGGAGGTGAGTTTTCCTCTGACCCTCTGCGAGCCTTCTGTCGTGCACAGGGCATCCGCCAGACGTTCACGCTTCCGGCCTCTCAACAGCAAAATGGGATTGCTGAGCGCCGCATTGGCATGGTCATGGACGTCGCTCGTACGTCCATGATCCATGCGGCTGCTCCCCATTTTCTGTGGCCGTTCGCGGTTCAGTACGCGGCGCATCAGATCAACCTTCAGCCCCGGGTCTCCTTTCCGGAGACCTCCCCTACTCTGCGGTGGACGGGGAAGGTTGGCGATGCGTCTGCGTTTCGTGTCTGGGGATCTCGGGCTTTTGTCCGCGACTTGTCTGCGGACAAGCTGTCCCCCCGTGCTGTTCCCTGCGTCTTCCTTGGCTTCCCCCCTGACGCGCCTGGTTGGCAGTTTTACCACCCCACCTCGCGCCGTGTTCTGTCTTCCCAGGACGTCACGTTTGACGAGTCGATCCCCTTCTACCGTCTCTTCCCCTACCGCACTGCCCCGCTCCCCCCTCCGCCGCGCTTCCTCACGCCAGGTGCTGCCTTGGTAGACCCCTTGCCTCCCCAGGTTCCTGCTCCCTCAGGTGTTTCCCAGGTAGACCCGGTCGAGCCTGTCGAGGTAGCTGTCGACTCTGGTCCTGCGCGAGGTACTGAGCGTGCTGAGCCTGGTGGTGCTGGGTCTGGAGGTACTGAGCCTGGGGGTGCTGAGCCTGGGGGTGCGGAGACTGGGGGTGCTGAGCCTGGGGGTGCGGAGACTACGGGTGCTGAGCCTGGGGGTGCAGAGACTGCAGGTGCTGAGCCTGGGGGTGCTGTCCCTGGTGGTGCTGGGTCTGGAGGTCCTGAGCCTGGGGGTGCTGCGCCTGGGGGCGCTCTCTCTTCCCAGCAGCTGCGTGAGTGGTACTCTCGGTACTGTCCCGGCCTCCGTGGTGCTGCTGGAGCTGGAGCTGAGAGCGCTGAGCCTATTGGAGTTGGTGTTGCTGATGACCCTGGGGTCGGCACTGGAGGTGCTGGAGCCTCTGGTCCTGGAGGTGCTCGTACTGGCGGTACTGGAGCTGCTGGGACTGGGGGTGCTGCTGGAGCTGTTGGCGCTGGTCCTGCTGGAGGTGCTGCTGGTGCTGCTGGAGGTACTGGAGCTGCTGGTGCTGCTGGGGGTACTGGAGCTGCTAGGCCTGGAGGTGCTCCTGGTGCTGGAGCTGCTGGCGGTGCTGGAGCTGGCGGTTCTGCTGGAGTAAATGCTGCTGGAGCTGCTGGAGCTGGAGCTGCTGGGGGTGTGGGAGCTGGAGGTGCTGCTGGCACTGGTGCTGCCACTGGGGGTACTGGTGCTGTCCCTGCTGTTCCAGGAGGCGCTGGGCGGCCGCGGCCGTACTTCGTTCCGCTCCTTGAGCAGGTTCTTGGTCTCCCGCCTTCTACTGGTCCTGCTCCTCCCTTAGAGTGTCCACAGCCTGTCCAGTCGCAGTCACAGTTACAGCCCGCCTCCCCCCTGCCTGCTCCTTCTCCCTACACTGGTCCTACTGGAGGTCTTGCTGAGCGTCGTGAGCCTGCGTCTCGTCCTGCGTCGCCTGTTCGTGCTGCTCGCACTAGTAGTCGTGTTCCGCGTCCGCGTCCTCCTGCGGTCCCAGGCACACACCAGATGGCGCTGCGTCCTTCCACTGCTCCTCTGCGTGTCCCGTTGCCGTCTCCTCCAGAGTCCTCTCTTCCTGTTCTTGCTGACCCGGAGTCTGACTCTCTTCGTGCTGCCAGTCCTACTGTCACGCGTCTCCTGGCTACTGTTGTCACTGACCCTTCCTTTGAGTCCACTGCTGCGTCTACCTTAGTTGCTGAGCTTGTCGACTTTGCTGCGCGCTGTCGTCTAGACTACGCCGCTAGTCTTGTTGCTGAGTCTGAGTCTGTCTGTCCTCCGTCCGTCGGGGGTGAGTGTGCTCTTAGCACGGACGTCCTTGAGGACAGGCAGGAGGAGTTCCAGTGTTTTGCTGCTGCTTTGCCTCATCTCGTGCCCATGCTGATTGCCCCTGAGGGAGACCCGGATGCACCAGACATCCCGACTCCTCGATCGTACGCTGAGGCGATCGAGGGTCCCTACTCCTCACAGTGGCAGTCAGCCATGGACGCAGAGATGGCTTCCTGGAAGTCCACAGGCACCTACGTCGACGAGGTTCCCCCACCTGGGGCGAACATCGTCAGTGGCATGTGGATTTTCAGGGTGAAGCGGCCGCCGGGTTCTCCGCCTGTCTTCAAGGCGCGTTACGTGGCTCGAGGCTTCAGTCAGCGGCAGGGAGTTGACTACTTTCAGACCTTCTCTCCCACCCCGAAGATGACCACTCTTCGGGTGCTGCTGCACATAGCCGCTCAGCGCGACTACGAGCTTCACTCTCTTGACTTCAGCACAGCTTTCTTGCAGGGCAGCCTGCACGAGGAGATCTGGCTGCGCCGCCCACCTGGCTTCACTGGGTCGTTTCCTCCTGGTACCCAGTGGAGCCTCCGGCGGCCAGTCTACGGTCTCCGCCAGGCGCCCCGTGAGTGGCACGACACACTGAGGACTACACTTGCGGCTCTTGGGTTTGCTCCTTCTACTGCCGACCCGTCGCTGTTTCTACGCACCGACACCTCTTTGCCGCCGTTCTACATCCTCGTGTACGTCGACGACTTGGTCTTTGCCACTGCTGACACTGCTGGACTCGCCCACGTGAAGTCCGAGCTGCAGAAGAGACACACGTGCACAGACCTGGGTGAACTGCGCAGCTACCTTGGCTTGCAGATCACCCGGGACAGAGCACAGCGCACCATTACCCTGACTCAGTCACACATGGTGCAGCAGGTCCTTCAGCGCTTCGACTTCACGTACTCCTCGCCTCAGGCCACTCCTCTGTCTACTCGCCACTTGCTCTCAGCTCTGCCTTCGGATGAGTCCGTAGAGCCGAGTGGCCCGTACCCAGAGCTTGTTGGCTGCCTCATGTACCTGATGACCTGCACTCGACCTGACCTTGCATACCCTCTTAGCATCTTGGCACGCTATGTTGCTCCTGGGAGACACCGACCAGAGCACATGGCTGCAGCGAAGAGGGTGTTGCGCTACTTGTGCAGTACGTCGGGCATGGGGCTAGTGCTTGGAGGGCGGCGTTCAGTGGTCCTCACAGGTCACGCAGACGCTTCTTGGGCTGACGACCAGGCTACGCAGCGGTCGTCACAGGGTTACACCTTCAGCCTTGGTTCCGGCTCTGTTTCGTGGCGGTCTACCCGCTCGTCTTCTGTTCTCGGCTCCAGCTGTGAGGCTGAGATCTACGCGGGGGCCATGGCTGCACAGGAGCTACGCTGGCTCACCTACCTGCTGACTGACCTAGGAGAGCAGCCTCGTTCTCCTCCAGTTCTGTACGTAGACAACAAGGCCATGCTGGCCTTGTGTTGGGAGCACAGACTGGAGCACAGAACGAAGCACATTGCTCTTCGCTACTTCCTTGCTCGTGAGCTGCAGCAGCGTGGTCAGCTGCGCCTTGCTTACATGGCCTCTCAGGCCAACACTGCTGATATCTTTACCAAGGCACTTCCGCCTTGTGATCATCAGCGCTGCTGTACGATGCTAGGTCTTGTGCCTACTTGGCCTCACTTGCTCACTTCTTGACCTTGCTTGTACTGTGATCTTTCTATACCTGCACTTGCTTGTTTACCTTTATATATGATCTTGCATGTGAACTGGCCTTGTGGCCTTGAAATTGTGCTCGGAATGTGTGGTGACGTTGTGATCCACCCTGAGCTTGCTTTGCTTTGCTTGACTGGTCTTGTGACCTCTTGTTCTCCCCCACTTTGCCTATGGGGGTGTGTCAAACTTATATGCTATAGTCTGTGTGGGCTGTAGTGGGGTAAACAATATGGGGTACAACACTTTTAGGTTTTCCTACTTGTACCCACCTGTTTCCTAGTGCATTCATCCCTCATTCTTTCACATCATCGTCACGAAGCCGGTGGACTACGCGACTCTACCGACACGGGAAGCACAAACCAGACCCTGGGCGCCGTCGTATTTCGTGGAGGTGCCTTAGTATCACACGTGGGACGCGTGGTGCGCAGGTCTGCGCGCTCGGTTCGAGCCAATTGCGGCTTCGATCGCGGCGCGGCAGAAGCTTCGCACTTGGCGCCAACTCGTTTCCGTCCAGGACTACACGAGCGGATTTCTGGCGCTATGCGAGCAAGAGGGTTACATGCACGAGAGCGAGCGCATCGACCGTTACATCGGCGGCCTGAAGCAGGACATCGCTCAGGAAATCCAGCTTCGCGGCGTCACCGACTTTCAAGAAATTCTCGCTATGGCAGAGAAACTTGACTTCTTCCGCCGACCGAGACCGGGGTCCTACGGAAGCAGCAACTGGGGACATCGGTCTCGTGGGACGAACGAGGGCGCTACGATACGGTCTGCTGCTCTAGGTGCTGGTGAGGCTACTGCTCTAGGTGCTAGTGCGTCTACTCCTCCAGGTGCTGGTGAGTCTGCTGCCCCAGGTGCTGGTGAGTCTGCTCTCTCAGGTACCTCGTCGTCTCAGGTTTTACACACCTTCACCCTTGACTTGGGTGCTTCCCGCTCCTTCTTTCGAGACCGCACCACACTCACGCCGCTTAGTCGGCCGGTTGCAGTCTCCCTGGCAGACCCCTCTGGGGGTCCTGTCCTTGCCCACTTCTCCACTGTCTTACCGTGTCCAGCGGCCCCTTCTGGCTCCCTGTTAGGTCTTTACCTCCCCTCGTTCTCTACGAACTTGGTGAGTGGTGCTGACCTACAGGATGGAGGGGTTGACCAGTTCACTCCTGCGCGTCAGCGAGTGACCCACTGTACGTGTGCTCGGACGGGCCGACACTTGGCCACGTTTACCCGTCAGCCAGGGTCGAGCCTGTACACACTGACTACTGAGTCTCCTCAGGTAGCTGCGTCGAGTCAGGTGTTTGCTGCAGCGTCCAGGTCTGGTCCTGAGTCTGCCCCCTGCTCGTGTCATCTCCTGTCTCACCAGACTCTCCTCTGGCACCACCGCCTTGGTCACCCCTCCCTGCCTCGTCTCTGAGGCATGGCCTCTCGTTTCCTTGTCTCGGGTCTTCCCCGGTCCCTCCCTTCTCTTCCTCTGGGGCCTGCCCCCACCTGCGTTCCCTGCGTCGAGGGGCGGCAGCGCGCCGCTCCTCACTCCTCCGAGTTTCCTCCGACAGAGGCTCCGCTGCAGACGCTTCACATGGACGTGTGGGGCCCAGCCCGCGTCCGTGGACAGGGTCACGAGCGTTACTTCCTGCTGGTGGTTGACGACTACTCGCGTTACACCACACTCTTCCCCTTGCGCAGCAAGGGTGAGGTCACTGAGGTGTTGATCGACTGGATCCGCGCAGCTCGTCTCCAGCTCAGAGAGAGTTTCGGCTCGGACCTTCCTGTCCTGCGTCTGCACTCCGACAGAGGAGGTGAGTTTTCCTCTGACCCTCTGCGAGCCTTCTGTCGTGCACAGGGCATCCGCCAGACGTTCACGCTTCCGGCCTCTCCACAGCAAAATGGGATTGCTGAGCGCCGCATTGGCATGGTCATGGACGTCGCTCGTACGTCCATGATCCATGCGGCTGCTCCCCATTTTCTGTGGCCTTTCGCGGTTCAGTACGCGGCGCATCAGATCAACCTTCAGCCCCGGGTCTCCTTGCCGGAGACCTCCCCTACTCTGCGGTGGACGGGGAAGGTTGGCGATGCGTCTGCGTTTCGTGTCTGGGGATCTCGGGCTTTTGTCCGCGACTTGTCTGCGGACAAGCTGTCCCCCCGTGCTGTTCCCTGCGTCTTCCTTGGCTTCCCCCCTGACGCGCCTGGTTGGCAGTTTTACCACCCCACATCGCGCCGTGTTCTGTCTTCCCAGGACGTCACGTTTGACGAGTCGGTCCCCTTCTACCGTCTCTTCCCCTACCGCACTGCCCCGCTCCCCCCTCTGCCGCTCTTCCTCACGCCAGGTGCTGCCTTGGTAGACCCCTTGCCTCCCCAGGTTCCTGCTCCCTCAGGTGTTTCCCAGGTAGACCCGGTCGAGCCTGTCGAGGTAGCTGTCGACTCTGGTCCTGCGCGAGGTACTGAGCGTGCTGAGCCTGGTGGTGCTGGGTCTGGAGGTACTGAGCCTAGGGGTGCTGAGCCTGGGGGTGCGGAGACTGGGGGTGCTGAGCCTGGGGGTGCAGAGACTACGGGTGCTGAGCCTGGGGGTGCAGAGACTGCAGGTGCTGAGCCTGGGGGTGCTGTCCCTGGTGGTGCTGGGTCTGGAGGTCCTGAGCCTGGGGGTGCTGCGCCTGGGGGCGCTCTCTCTTCCCAGCAGCTGCGTGAGTGGTACTCTCGGTACTGTCGCAGCCTCCGTGGTGCTGCTGGAGCTGGAGCTGAGAGCGCTGAGCCTACTGGAGTTGGTGTTGCTGCTGACCCTGGGGTCGGCACTGGAGGTGCTGGAGCCTCTGGTCCTGGAGGTGCTCGTACTGGCGGTACTGGAGCTGCTGGGACTGGGGGTGCTGCTGGAGCTGTTGGCGCTGGTCCTGCTGGAGGTGCTGCTGGTGCTGCTGGAGGTACTGGAGCTGCTGGTGCTGCTGGGGGTACTGGAGCTGCTAGGCCTGGAGGTGCTCCTGGTGCTGGAGCTGCTGGCGGTGCTGGAGCTGGCGGTTCTGCTGGAGTAAATGCTGCTGGAGCTGCTGGAGCTGGAGCTGCTGGGGGTGTGGGAGCTGGAGGTGCTGCTGGCACTGGTGCTGCCACTGGGGGTACTGGTGCTGTCCCTGCTGTTCCAGGAGGCGCTGGGCGGCCGCGGCCGTACTTCGTTCCGCTCCTTGAGCAGGTTCTTGGTCTCCCGCCTTCTACTGGTCCTGCTCCTCCCTTAGAGTGTCCACAGCCTGTCCAGTCGCAGTCACAGTTACAGCCCGCCTCCCCCCTGCCTGCTCCTTCTCCCTACACTGGTCCTACTGGAGGTCTTGCTGAGCGTCGTGAGCCTGCGTCTCGTCCTGCGTCGCCTGTTCGTGCTGCTCGAACTAGTAGTCGTGTTCCGCGTCCGCGTCCTCCTGCGGTCCCAGGCACACACCAGATGGCGCTGCGTCCTTCCACTGCTCCTCTGCGTGTCCCGTTGCCGTCTCCTCCAGAGTCCTCTCTTCCTGTTCTTGCTGACCCGGAGTCTGACTCTCTTCGTGCTGCCAGTCCTACTGTCACGCGTCTCCTGGCTACTGTTGTCACTGACCCTTCCTTTGAGTCCACTGCTGCGTCTACCTTAGTTGCTGAGCTTGTCGACTTTGCTGCGCGCTGTCGTCTAGACTACGCCGCTAGTCTTGTTGCTGAGTCTGAGTCTGTCTGTCCTCCGTCCGTCGGGGGTGAGTGTGCTCTTAGCACGGACGTCCTTGAGGACAGGCAGGAGGAGTTCCAGTGTTTTGCTGCTGCTTTGCCTCATCTCGTGCCCATGCTGATTGCCCCTGAGGGAGACCCGGATGCACCAGACATCCCGACTCCTCGATCGTACGCTGAGGCGATCGAGGGTCCCTACTCCTCACAGTGGCAGTCAGCCATGGACGCAGAGATGGCTTCCTGGAAGTCCACAGGCACCTACGTCGACGAGGTTCCCCCACCTGGGGCGAACATCGTCAGTGGCATGTGGATTTTCAGGGTGAAGCGGCCGCCGGGTTCTCCGCCTGTCTTCAAGGCGCGTTACGTGGCTCGAGGCTTCAGTCAGCGGCAGGGAGTTGACTACTTTCAGACCTTCTCTCCCACCCCGAAGATGACCACTCTTCGGGTGCTGCTGCACATAGCCGCTCAGCGCGACTACGAGCTTCACTCTCTTGACTTCAGCACAGCTTTCTTGCAGGGCAGCCTGCACGAGGAGATCTGGCTGCGCCGCCCACCTGGCTTCACTGGGTCGTTTCCTCCTGGTACCCAGTGGAGCCTCCGGCGGCCAGTCTACGGTCTCCGCCAGGCGCCCCGTGAGTGGCACGACACACTGAGGACTACACTTGCGGCTCTTGGGTTTGCTCCTTCTACTGCCGACCCGTCGCTGTTTCTACGCACCGACACCTCTTTGCCGCCGTTCTACATCCTCGTGTACGTCGACGACTTGGTCTTTGCCACTGCTGACACTGCTGGACTCGCCCACGTGAAGTCCGAGCTGCAGAAGAGACACACGTGCACAGACCTGGGTGAACTGCGCAGCTACCTTGGCTTGCAGATCACCCGGGACAGAGCACAGCGCACAATTACCCTGACTCAGTCACACATGGTGCAGCAGGTCCTTCAGCGCTTCGACTTCACGTACTCCTCGCCTCAGGCCACTCCTCTGTCTACTCGCCACTCGCTCTCAGCTCTGCCTTCGGATGAGTCCGTAGAGCCGAGTGGCCCGTACCCAGAGCTTGTTGGCTGCCTCATGTACCTGATGACCTGCACTCGACCTGACCTTGCATACCCTCTTAGCATCTTGGCACGCTATGTTGCTCCTGGGGGACACCGACCAGAGCACATGGCTGCAGCGAAGAGGGTGTTGCGCTACTTGTGCAGTACATCGGGCATGGGGCTAGTGCTTGGAGGGCGGCGTTCAGTGGTCCTCACAGGTCACGCAGACGCTTCTTGGGCTGACGACCAGGCTATGCAGCGGTCGTCACAGGGTTACACCTTCAGCCTTGGTTCCGGCTCTGTTTCGTGGCGGTCTACCCGCTCGTCTTCTGTTCTCGGCTCCAGCTGTGAGGCTGAGATCTACGCGGGGGCCATGGCTGCACAGGAGCTACGCTGGCTCACCTACCTGCTGACTGACCTAGGAGAGCAGCCTCGTTCTCCTCCAGTTCTGTACGTAGACAACAAGGCCATGCTGGCCTTGTGTCGGGAGCACAGACTGGAGCACAAAACGAAGCACATTGCTCTTCGCTACTTCCTTGCTCGTGAGCTGCAGCAGCGTGGTCAGCTGCGCCTTGCTTACGTGGCCTCTGAGGCCAACACTGCTGATATCTTTACCAAGGCACTTCCGCCTTGTGATCATCAGCGCTTTTGTACGATGCTAGGTCTTGTGCCTACTTGGCCTCACTTGCTCACTTCTTGACCTTGCTTGTACTGTGATCTATCTATACCTGCACTTGCTTGTTTACCTTTATATATAATCTTGCATGTGAACTGGCCTTGTGGCCTTGAACTTGTGCTCGAAATGTGTGGTGACGTTGTGATCCACCCTGAGCTTACTGTGCTTTGCTTGACTGGTCCTGTGACCTCTTGTTCTCCCCCACTTTGCCTATGTGGGTGTGTCAAACTTATATGCTATAGTCTGTGTAGGCTGTAGTGGGGTAGATAGTATGGGGTACAACACTTTTAGGTTTTCCTACTTGTACCCACCTGTTTCCTAGTGCATTCATTCCTCATTCTTTCACACTTGATGCGCTGGCTCGACCAAGAGACTGCGGCTCCTCCGAAGATGAAAACGTAGCCGCCCGTGCTCGTCCGATTCTGCTTGTCGCCAGCGTCGTCAGCATCTGCATAGCCGACCAGACACAGCGACTCTAGTCCGCCGCCGAACTCCAGAGCGGCGTCACGAGTTTCAGCGAGGTAGTGCGGACAGCGATCGACCTCACGCTAGTGGTTGTCGCTCCGCACCGTCAGGCCAGATCCGAGCTTGCTGCAAGCGAACGCAATGTCGGGCCTCGTCGTGGTGGCCGCGAACTGCAGTTAGCCGACCTTCTGCCGATACTCTGCTTCCTCGCGCGACTGAAACTCCTCGTCGTCGAACACCAGCTCTGCGTAGGCATCGACGGAGACCGGCGTCTTCGGCAATCGTCCGGTCTGCTCCTCGTCGATGAAACGGCGACGCAGTTTGTCGACGTAGACTTGCTGATGGAGCCACAGCTTCCGCGCAGGACGGTCGCGCACGATTTCCAGCCCGAGATACTTCTCGAACGGGCTGATTTCGCGCAGCTCAAATGCGGCCTGCAGCAGCTCCTTCAGCATGACAGTGCTGCTGCTTGCGGCGAGCAGGTCCTCGACGTAGACGAGCACCCAGCACGCCACTCCGTCGTCGTCGACCTTGAAGTAGAGCGCTTCGTCTACCTGGCTCTTGCTCCAACCGGCGTCGATCAGCACCGCGTCGAACGCAGAGTACCACAGCAGCAGACTCTGCTTCAGGCCGTACAAGCTCTTCAGCAGCTTGCAGACGCGGCCGGTTCCGTCGTTGAAGTAGTCGGGCTGGTACATGTAGAGGATGCGATCCAGCTTGCTCTGCAGAAACGCATTTTTCATGTCGAGCTGCATCAGGTGCAGGTCGAGGACTGCTACAATGCTCAGGAAGATCCGCAGAGTTACGTAGCTCCCCACCGGCGCGTACGTCTCATCATAATCTGCGCCGTAGGTCTGCGTGAAGCCCTTCACCACCAAACGCGCCTTCTCGCGGGCGACCGTGTCGTCGACGTGGTACTTCGTCGTGAGTACCCAACGATTCTTCATCACGTTCACATCGCGCGGACGCTCGACCAGCTCCCACGTTCCGTTGGAGATGAGACTCTTGATCTCATCGTCCATGGCCGCTTTCACCGCCTTGCCTTTCCAGCTCGCCAACGCCTCCTTCACCGTCATGTTGGCGATATCCCAGCGATGCTCTGGATCGGCGTGCATATCGGGGTCGAGCTCGGGCAGATCGATATCGTCCTCTGCGTCGTCGAGCAGAGTGCTGTAAGCCGTCGGCGTCAGACAAGCGTGGTAGCTCAGCTTCTCCGACGGCTTGCCGATGTTGGGGCGGGTAGAACGGCGCAGTTTTTCCTTCTCGACAGCGACCTCTACCACGTCGTCGTCTTCGGACTGCTCCCCTTCTCCGCCACCGGCCGCGTCGACGACTTCCACAACATCGTCGCTCGACGAATCATCGTCGAACTGCTCCCCTGTCGGCAGCTCCTCTACCAACTGCTCCCCCAGGATCGGCTGCTCTGCCAACGACTCCCCTGAAGGTGGCGCCTCTACCAGCGGCTTCTCTGCAGGCTGCTTCGGCGCCTCTGCCAGCAGCTTCACTGCAGTCGGCTTCGATGCCGACAGCTCCCCTGTCGTCTGCCGCTTCCCGTCGCCGACCTTCTCGGCGTCACGTCGGCCACCGCCGATAAAACCGATCGGCGCCGCAGGCGACGCACCAAGTCTCCCCTCATCGCCGGCGGCCGACGAGGACACAATAGGAGGAGGGAGCGGGACTTCCACTACGTCCTCATCATCAGGCTCGTTGACGACGGTGAGCAGAGGAGGCAGCTCCGAGGAGGAATCCGGCGGCGGGGCAGACGGCGTCCTCGTCGATGCCGGCCCAGACTCTACCTTCCACATCTCCAGCGACAAGGTCTCGTAGAAGATCGCTTCGATCGTTGTGACGATTTTGTTGTCCGTCAAGTCGAGCACCTCCCAGCCCTTGCTCTCCAGCGACACGCCCAGGTGGAGACCCCAACGAGCCTTCGGCGCCAGCTTCCCGCCGCGCTGATGCTCGGGGACCATGAACTGCACCATGCAGCCCCAAACCCGCGCCAGAGTCAAAGCTGGCTTCGTCCCAAACAGCAGCTCGTGCGGCGGCGTCCCCTTTGGCAGAGAAGCCCGCTCGAGGCAGTTGCGCACCCAGGCGGCCTGCCGCAGAGCGAGGTGCCACCAGTGGTGCTTAACGCCCATGTGCAGAAGCATCGTACGCACGGCCTCGACCACCGTGCGCATCTCCCGCTCGGCCATCCCGTTCTGCTGCGGAGTGTAGGGGCACGTCAGATTGTGGAGGATTCCCTTGTCCTCGACGAGGTCGGTGAAGGCGCGACCGAGGAACTCTCCTCCGCGGTCCGAACGCAACTTCTTCACCGTCTTTGACGTCTGCCGCTCCACCTCCTTCAGCCATTTGTCGAAGACGACCAGCACGTCGCTTTTCTTCGCGATCGGCCTCACCCACACGTAGCGAGTCTTCCTATCTTTCAGCAAAAGAAAGTAGAGGTTGCCATCTTTGGCGGCCACCCGAAACGGTCCGCAGAGGTCGATGTGCACCACATCGAGCGCGTTCTCGGCGTCCGATCCTTGGTCGGGGAAGGTGTGAGATCGGCTGCGCCCAAGCGAGGGCGGGGCCTTCCTCTTCGGCATTCGCTGCGTGCAAGAAATCGATCTCAGCCAAAGAAACCGCTCGCCTGTTCATCGCAGCCGTCATTCGACTGCACGGGATACCAGCCGCGATAATCAGCGACCGCGATACGAAGTTTAGCAGCAATTTCTGGAAGAACCTCTGGGAGCAGTTTGGGACCAGGCTACAGTTCAGCTCGTCGTACCACCCCGAGACCGACGGTCAAACAGAGCGGATGAATCAGACGATGGAGCAGTTAATTCGTGCCACGTGCGACGACCCGACAACATGGGAGCAGCAGCTGCCGCTGATTGAGTTCGCGTACAACAACGCCACGTCAGCGACGACGCATCAGTCCCCTTACTACCTGAACTACAGGCAGAACCCTACAGTGCCCATGACGCCGAGCCCGGACAACCCAACACCACGAGCGCAGCAATTCGCCGAAATTCTGCAAGCTGCCCGCACCAGAGCCGCTGAAGCAATTAAAAAAGCCAATGTCATCGCTAAGCGCAACGCTGACCGCCACCGCCGCCGAGTCACATACCAGTCAGGAGACTATGTACTGCTCGACACACAGAATTAAGACTGCCCGTCGTACCGAAATTACGACCGCGCTACTGTGGACCCTTCCAAATCAGCCACATGATTACCCCAGTGACATCCCACATACTGTTGCCGACGGACTGGTACATAAGCCCTTCATTCCACGTCAACCTGCTTCGCCCATACATCGCAACCACAAGCCAACTGCCTCGTCACCGCCCTCCATCCACGACTCGCCCTGCATCGGAGCCGATCATCGAGCCCGAAAAAATCATGAGCCATCGGATTCGACACCCCACGGAAATCAGGAGGATTGAATTCCTCGTTCGCTGGAAGGACCGCACGCCAACTGAGGATAGCTGGGTGCCCCTGGCCAACATTGAAAACCACCCTGCCCTGCAAGTGTACCTGAGGAGCCGGGGTTTCTGCGATATACACGCACTCGCGTAGCGGAGGGGGCTTCTTGAGGGGGGGGGTAGTGTAAGGAATTTTCTCGATATTCCTTAGCGCGCCCTGCAATATCTCGTACAGCAGCAGCCGTTGTTCGCCCGTTACTGCTAACGGGGCTTCGCGGACTTCGCGCGCACTGTTTCACCAAACCTCGCACTGCTGGCCCGGCCGTGTCGGCCTACGCTTCGGGACTAGCCCGAGCCTCGCTGCCAGCGTAGCACTAGCTAGCTCGCACGCACCGCGTTAGCCGTTGCATGTTTCGCGTATAAATGTTCGCTCATGCATTCGCTCACATTTTGTACTCATTTGACACCTTAGTGCAATTCTCGCTACTTAGATTCATTGCACCCGTAACACGACCGTGCTTCTAAGGGCGGGTCAAACTTTGCACGTTTTCGCAGAAAACCCTACCCAACCATCTCGTGTTAAAAAAAAACCGCCCTGGATCAAGCCTTAACCGTTTTGAACCGCAATCGGACGTACTCTTTTGACCCGCCCTAATGCAAAAAAATCGTGAAAGACCATCCCTTGTAGAAAACTAGGATGCACGTGGTGAGGCAGTCTTCAGGGGCCTTGTGGTCGACTGCAACACACTACCTCCTCCCCACACCGTGAATTCAAGCAACTTGGAACCAGCAAAATGGTTTCTCCCAGACCTAAACGCCCTTCAACTGATTTTGAGAATTATGTGCGATTATGTGTTCAACTGATGCATATTCGTATTCTGTGTGATCAAAAGCGTAAGTGCGAACTCTTCAAGTGCTGTTACGTCCCCAACTACCTCCACCATCTCTTGTACGATTGAGAGGCAGAAAAAAATAGCGGAATAATTCGTGGGAACTTGGCAGTGTGGCTTTTACACTTCGGGAGGCACTTTTTGTTTGCTCCGGGCTGTCGTCAAAGATACTGTACTGTACTACATCGCTGACGGTTATGGGTTCACAGTGCATCCCAGTTTCTCATTCAGTGATTTCCGTAGACGACGACTCTGTACGCAGGTGCCTCGAGGCCTTGAAGCCACGAATTTACAGTCTCGCACGAACGACGGACAGACGCCATGGTTTTTTGTTTAGATGGTCCAGCTACAGTTCGGCAACAGGTGCACCGCATTGGTTCATCACTCTTCAAGTTTCGGTTCCGAAACCCCCACTCGATCCATCCATTCATCCTCCCGCATGCCACAAACAACAAAAAGAAATGGTCCTGAGAACATGGGATGGGATGGGATGGGATGGGATGAGTGAGATGCTCGATCGAATGAGCATTTATTTTCAGAATGCCTTCCCCGGCGGGCATCGCATGACCATGGGATGTGGTGGTGGTGGAGCACCAGGAGAGGATGGCCGTTTTGTTTCGACACATTCTCGTGGCTCACGAAATGTGTTTTTCTTTTCTTCGTGGTGGGTCACAACACACGTGACACAACTGGACGCCGACTGTTTTTTGCAGAGCACGGGGTCGGATTATCAGATCGCAAAGCTTCGTCGACCCCCTCCATGTTCCGATAATTTCCCAAAAGGGCGTGGGATGCTTCGTCGTTTACAGTTTAGACGGAACGTACCTCTGTTTTTTCGTAGTTTCGAAAGCGGCAATAATTTATCCAGCACCGTCCTGACAGCAAGAATTGCCGATCAGCAAGACGAGGCCTCCACCGTGGCTTCTACAGCGGCGTCGCGTCGCGGTGACGCGCTCAAAAGTAGGCGGCGCAGTCGCAAGATCGCTCTTCCCTCGCTTCACCGTCGACATGCATTAGCCCGACCGTCTAAACCTACTATCCTATCGTTCTCACGATGGTGCGAGCTGCAGGCAGGACGGCATCGCCGCACGGCGCCGCGAAGCCTTCATCAAGCACCAGCATCCTCCCGCTAATCACCGCCGGCCACGTGTCCTCCATCTGGCACGACATCGTTCTCATTCCGCCTGCCCCCGTTGCGCTGGCGCGTGCCCATTCCCCCTCCGGAATCTCCGCGCGGCGCCATAATCAGCATAGTCATCGTCGCCACCATGATGACAATCACCTTCATCGTCATGATCCTCCGCCGGCGGCGACGGCGGCGGTGGCGCTCTCGACCTCCACCTTCACGTTTGTCTGCCGCTCCGCCGCTTCCCGTTCCGCCGAGTCGCCCTCCGCCGCCCCCGGCGACGGTGGCGGCGGCGGGAGGCGGCAGAAGGACGACCCTCTGCGAAAGACGTTCCGCGAAAAGCGGAAGGTATTGGCGCTGGACGGCAGTCTTAAAGTGCAAGCCGTCCCGTCGTCGTCATCCTCGGAGTCCAAATCGGCCGAGTCGCCCGAGTCGGCCGAGTCGCTGCTGCTGGCGGCACCGTGGAACATGGGCATCCTGCCGCAGACGTGCGTTCTCGCGCCGCGATCCATGTCCATGTTCTTCCACTGGGGTGTAGACGAAAATCCAGCTGAAGCGAGAGAAAGAGAACGGAGAAATGCTCTTATCGGGGATAACGGTGATGATGATTTGGGCGGTGGAGATTCTGTGAAGGATTTCAACGATTCGCTTGTAACCGCATGCGACAACTCGCCGCTTGAAGCGCTCGAGATTGGGTCGCACTCGCGCGAGCCTGGCGACGTGTACGATGTTTTGCCGCTGCTGGCGATGCCCTTGCGACTGATGGGGGCGGAGCGAAACAGCATGCCGATTTCATGGAGGATTGTAACCATCGCAGCGGACGACGAGCTCGTGACAAGCGGGAAGCTGAAAACTTTTATCCGCAGCCGATTGGACGAAGTGCGAGATTGGGCAGAAAGAACAGAGTTTTACAGTGAAATCGCAGGAGCAGGTACAACCTCCTCCGAACAATCCACCATATCATCTCAACATCACCACCATACCTCGCCTCTATCTCTTTTTTTTTTTTTTTTGTAATGCGTGTACTTTAGGTTTCACCTTTTGAAACATTCTTTCGCCTTCTTTTTTGTTACCATTTGGTGTACAGGCCGAGCGGTCAACAAATGCGCCAAACTTCTCCCCTCTTTCTCATTCGTCGAAAGCCGTCCCGCGGGCGGAGCATCGGTTCCTGGGGAGCGCGGAGCTGGTTGCGCAGAGGACGGGGGGAAGCAGGCGGAGCAGCAACACGAAGGGGAGGAATGCATTTGGGAAGCTAAGAACACGTGGACGAATCGGAAAGCGAAGAAACGGATAGATCCCGCCGCGCAGAGAGCGGCGCAAGCGGCGGCGGAAGCGGCGGAAGCCGCGGCGCAAGCAGCGGCGCAAGCCGCGGCGGAGTCGGCGGCGGAAGCGGAGCACACGATCCGTTACGCGCACCGCACGTGGCGGATCCTGTGCCACTCGCTGCGCCGCCCCGTGCTGCGGCGCATAGCGCATGTACCGGAGAGCCATGGCCGGGAGCGCGCGGAGGCGGCGCAAGCGGCTGTTAGACAGCTGGTGGGGGGCGGGGGAGGAGATGCGGAAGCGCAGGGGGAGAAGGGGCATGGGGGGAAGGGGCATGGGCATGGGCATTGGCACTTGCATCGGCATAAGCATGGGGATGGGCATGGGCACAAGCATTGGCACAAGCATGGGCCAGGGCATGATGTGCATAAGCATAAGCATGGGCACGGGCAGGAGGAGGGACAGGAGGAGGAGAAGCAGGAGCGGAAATCACCAAAGGGGCACGAGGGAGGAGGTGTGAGCAGTGGCAGCAGCAAGGGCGTGCCTGTTGCTGCCTCTGCTGCATTCTCGGCTGCTTTTAAGACTGCTTCTGCCTCCGCCCAAGACTGGCCTCGCAAGCACTCTCATGCTCACGCGCAAGTGCTCACGCTCGCGCACCCACGGCCGTCGTCAGCGTCTCTCGCTGCTGCTGGTGCTGCTGGTGCTGCTGGCGAGTCCCCCAGGGAGCACGCTCGCTCGCACGCTCTCTCACTCTCACGGCCGTCGTCAGCGTCTCTCGCTGCTGCTGCCGCTGTTGTTGCTGGTACTGACGAGTCCTCGCGAGAGCAGGGTCACACGCAGGATGCTCATAGCGAGTCTCGTGACGAGTCTTATAACGAGTCGCATAATGAGTTAGCGAAAGAGTTTTATACGGAGTCTCAGAACGAGCCTCAAAAGGACTCCCGTGAGAGTTCTTTTAACGAGTCGCGTAATAGGCTACACAAGGAGTCTAATGCGGAGTCTCCTAGTTCTCATCACGAGTCGCACAAGTGGTTCCAGAAGCATGCTCACAAGGAGTCTAACGGAGAGTCCCCTCAGTCTCATCACGAGTCGCACAAATGGTTCCACAAGCATTCCCATAATGAGTCTCATGCCGATTCCCCGCATTCTCCGCACGAGTCCCGCAGGTGGTTTCACAAGCATTCCCATAGGGACTCTCATACGGAGTCTCCGCATTCTCATCACAGCGAGTCCCATAAATGGTTCCACAAGCATTCTCACAGGGTCTCTTTCGACGTGCCTCATAACGAGTCCCACAAGTGGTCTTATAAGGAGTCTCACAAGGAGTCTTATAAGGAGTCTTTTAAGGAGTCTCCAAATCAGGCCCAAAAGCACCACCCCCTTTTTAAGCTAATCCATCCCTCCCCATCCGCGGGCGATCTCGGAACCACCAGCAGCGCCGCTTGGAGATTAATCGCTCCTCCGGAGAGCTATGGCCTTCCGGGTCTCATCACCCCTAAAGGCGGAGACGGCCTAGGGGGGAGCGGAGGAAGGGGCGGGCGAAGAGGGGAGAGAGGAGGGGGGGAAGGTGCGTGGGGCGGGGGGAGCAGCGTGCTCAGGCAGAGACAGAGGCACAGCTGTACAGACCTCACGGATCTCGCCTCTGTGGGGGAGGGGGAGCAGCATGACTGGCTGAACAGCCCTGCTTCCGCTGGTTACAAGGAGTTTGGAGGAGGAGGAGGGACAAATGCAGGGGCAGGGGGGTCGCTGCATGGGACCGGTAAAAGAAGCGGGCTTCGAGTTTCCATGGGGGAGAGACCCGGGGGGTATGAGAAGCATGAGTGGCTGCGCAGTCCGTCTGCCGGTCAGGGGATTCTTTTTGCTGCCCGGGATGCTGTGGAGGGGGCTAAGGGCGTGGCTGATAAGGTGGCAGGCGTGGCTGATAAGGTGGCAGGCGTGGCTGCGAAACGCATTGCTGTGGCGGGGGCTGTAGCGGGGACTGTAGCGGGGACAGTGGCAGGGACAGTGGCAGGGACTGTAGCGGGGACGGCAGAGCACGTGGCTGGGAATGTGGCAGGGGCGGCAGGGGTTGTGGTGGGGAGAGTGACTGGCGCGGCAGGCGTGGTGGGAGGTTCGGTGACCGGGGCTGCTGGTAAGGTAGCCGGGGCTGTAGCGGGGACGGCAGAGCACGTGGCTGGGAATGTGGCAGGGGCGGCAGGAGTGGTGGCGGGGAAAGTGACTGGGGCGGCAGGCGTGGTAGGAGGCTCGGTGACCGGGGCAGCTGGTAAGGTAGCCGGGGCTGCAGGTACGGTAGCAGGTACGGTTAAGGATGCTGCAGGTACTGTAGCAGGTACGGTAGCTGGGGCTGCAGGTACGGTAGCAGGTACGGTAGCCGGAGCTGCAGGTACGGTAGCCGGGGCCGCAGGTTCGGTAGCTGGTACGGTGGCAGGTACGGTTGCAAGTTTACCCAGGGGCGCGGTGGGGGTTGTGTCTCGCAGAGTGCGGAATATAGGCGCGGGGGGGAAGGCGATGAGTGCGCATGTGCGCAGAGGAGCAGAGGCTCGGATCGAAGCTGCACAGAGCACTGTGAAATCTGTCAGTGCAAGAGTGCAGCGGGGCGCCGGGGCTAGCTTCGGAGTGGCTCGGAATGCTGTGGAGGAGAGGCTCGGGATGGGCCGGCATGGTTCGGAAGAGAGGCTCGGGATGAGTCGGCATGGTTCGGAGGAGAGGCTCGGAATGAGTCGGCATGGTTCGGAAGAGAGGCTCGGGATGGGCCGGCATGGTTCGGAGGAGAGGCTCGGGATGGGCCGGCATGGTTCGGAAGAGAGGCTCGGAATGAGTCGGCATGGTTCGGAAGAGAGGCTCGGGATGGGCCGGCATGGCTCAGAGGAGAGGCTCGGGATGGGCCGGCATGGCTCAGAGGAGAGGCTGGGGGTGGATTGGCATGGTGTGGGGGGTGGGAGTGCAGTGTTTGAGTCGTTTGAATTGGTGGGTGAAAATATTTCGGAGGGAGGCAGTGAAGCACTAGAGTCGTTTGGAAGGGTTGGTGAAGCTAGTTCGGAGGGTGGGAGTGTGGTGTTAGAATCGTTTGAAAGGGCGGTTGAAAATGGTTCGGAGGGTGGGAGTGTGCTGGGGATGCCACAAACAGAGGCAAATCTTGGCACCGAGGCGAGTCCTGGTGCAGAGGCGATTGGAGCGTTTCAAAGCGGTTTGGAGGAGTCTGGTAGTGTGTGGGTGCAGAGAGAAGGCCCAGGGGCGCATTCAGATTTGGAGGCGTCTCAGCGGAGTGAGGGTGCAGCGAGTAATCACTCACCTGAAAGAGAGGTGGAGAGCAAGAGAGGGGGAGTGCAGAGCAGTACGGAGGAGTCTACGAGTGTGAGAGTGCGACGAGAAGGCTCAGGGGCGCATCCTAATCTGGATGCGTCTCAGCGGAGTGAGGGTGCCGTGAGTAATGACTCGCGTTTATGCGAGTTGGAGAGCACGAGTGGGGGAGTGCAGAACGGTGCAGAGGAGTGTAGCAGTGTGAGAGCGGGGCGAGGAGGCTCAGGGGCGCATTCAGATTTGGAGGCGTCTCAGCGGAGTGAGGGTGCAGCGAGTAGTGACTCGCCAGAAAGAGAGGTGGAGAGCAGGAGTGGGGGAGTGCAGAGCGGTGTGGAGGAGTCTAGGAGTGTGGGAGTATTAAGAGGCGGCTCAGGGGCACATTCTAATCTGGAAGCGTCTCAGCGGAGTGAGGGTGCAACTAGTAGAGACTCGCCAGAACGCGAGGTGGAGAGAGAGAGTGGGGGAGTGCAGAGCGGTGCAGAGGCGTGTTCTGAGGCACCAGGGAGTGAGGTGAGGACTGCGAGTGGGGGAGTGGGAAGCGGGGGGCCAAGGGAACACGAGGAATCTGCAGGGAAGCAAGCGGAAAGTCCGAGGCACCACGAAGAAAGTCTGAGGCAGCGCGAGGAAAGCCTGAGGCAACTTGAGGAAAGCCTGAGGCAACGCGAGGAAAGCCTGAAGCAACAGGAGGAAAGCTTGAAGCAACGATTTGCGAAGTCCAAGAGCAGGAAAGCCAAAGGAGGGATCGGAGAGATTGACAGGTTGGTTGTTTCTGAGCCTGAAGAAAGCAGAAGGAGCGGGAAGGGCAGAGGGATCAGAGGGAGCAAGAAGGGCAAAGAGGGCGGAAGAAGGGGAGCGAGTGGAGAGATTGGAGGGTTGATTGTTTCTGAATCTGAAGAAAGCAGGAGTGGAAAGGGCAAAGGAAAGGGAGCGATCAAGAAGGGCAAAGGGGGCAGAGGGAGTGGAGAGATTGGAGGGCTGGTTGTGTCTGAGTCGGAAGAAAGCAGGAAGAGCGGAAAAGGCAGAGGGATTGGAGGGAGCAAAAGGGGCGAAGGGGGCGGAAGGAGAGTAGGGAGTGGAGAAATTGGAGGGTTGGTTTTTTCCGAGTCTGAAGAGAGCAGAAGGAGCGGAAAGGGCAGAGGAAGTGGAGGGAGCAAGAAGAGCAAAGGGAGCGAAAGAAGTGGCGGAAATGGGGAAAGTGGAGGGTTGGTTTTTTCTGAATCTGAAGGCAGCAGAAGGAGCGGAAAGAGCAGAGGAAGCGGAGGGAGCAAGAAGGGCAAAGTGGGTGGAAGCGGAAAGAAGGACAGGAAGGGAGGAGGTGAGGAGGGAGAAGTGAGCAGTCGCAGGTGCGAGTCCCTCCCTATAAGCACAAAGCACTGTAAAAGAGACCCCCTTGATAAAATGGCAGTGAGCCCTCCTCTTTCCACACCAGCAGCCTCTCCTCCTCTTTCCCCCTCTTCCATCTCACCTCCTCATACTCCATCTCAGAACTCCCCTCTTCTTCCCTCTCACTCCACTCTTTCTTCCACCTCTAGCTCTAGTGCCCTGTATGATCATGCAGCTGCCTCCTCTTGTGAGTCAACTCACAAGTCAGCTGGAGCAGGAGCAATACCAGAGGCAGGAGCAGGAGAGGCAACTACAGGAGCAGGAGCAAAAGCAGCAGCAGGACAAAGAGCATTAAGACGAGTGAAATCAGCAGGAGGAGCAAAAGCAGCAGCAGGAAAAGCAAAAGCAGCAGCAGGAGAAGTAAAAGCAGCAGGAGGAGAAAAAGAAGCAGCAGGAGCAAAAGCAGCAGCAGGAAAAGTAAAAGCAGCAACAGGAGGGGAAAAAGCAGCACCAGGAGCAGAAGCAGCAGCAGCAGGAGAAAACGCAGCAACAGGAGGAGCAGGGGAAGGAGCAAAAGCAGCAAAAGGAGCAAAAGTAGCAAAAGGAGCAAAAGTAGCAAAAGGAGCAAAAGGAGCAAAAGCAGCAAAAGGAGCAAAAGCAGAAGCAGCAGCAGAAGGAGCAGTAGGAGAGGGGGGAGGAGCAGAAGGAGAGGGGGGAGGAGCAGCAGGAGCGGGGGAAGGGGCAGCAGGCGTGGGGGAAGGGGAAGTGGTTGCAGTACGAAAGAGGACTACACCTCGACGTGTAGCAACCAGCAGGGAGGATGAAACAAGCACAGCTGCACCTGATGCACTTGCTCCTGCTGATGCGACTGCAACCCTTGCTCCTGCTGATGTGCAAGCAACATCTGCTCCTATTGCTTCACCTACAGCATTTGCTCCCACTGCTGCGCCTGCTGCGTGTGCAGCTGCTGCACCTGCTGCTGATGGGACAGCGGTGTGTATGAGTGGTGAAGCCACTGCACCTGCTGCTTATGAGCCAGTAATGTGTGAGAGCAGGGATTTTGCCACCACACCTGCTGCTGCGCCTGCGCTTGTAGAGGGAGTGCGGCACAAGTATGGGACTGCTGCTCATACTACATCTGCTGATACTGCTCCTGCTGTTGCTGCTCCTGCTGTTGCTGCTCCTGCTGTTGCTGCTCCTGCTGCTGCTGCTCCTGCTGATACTGCTCCTGCTGTTACTGCTCCTGCCGATAAAAGGGCAGCAGAACGAAAGGTTGGGATTAAAGCTGCTGCACCTGCTGCTGCTCCACCTGCTGTTGCTGCTCCTGCTGCTGCGCCTGCTGCTCCTGCTGCTGCTCCTGCTGCTGCTCCTGCTGCTTCTGCTGCTGCTGCTGCGCCTGCTGCTTCTGCTGCTGCGCCTGCTGCTGGCGAGGCCAGTCATACTGCAGCGCTATCTGCCAGCAGTGCTCGACTTTCTTTCAAGCCTTCATGGAAGCGTTTTCCATCGTTACGGCCATGTGTTGCGTGTTTTAGTTTTGACAAAAAGACCCTGGCAGAGCCAGCAGATGATTCGCCAGCGGGTCTTGTGGTCAGGCAGACTCGAGACGGGTAGTGCTAGGTGAAGTTGTAGAAATTGGGGGTGGGGGGTTCTAGCTTCTTAAAACGTATTAATATGTAAATGTGATGAAGCTACCGCTAAACCTAAAAAGCTAAGTGCAAAGCAGAACAACTTAATAGCAGTTGATTAGCTGTTTACTGTGAACAAATAGAGAACCTCTTGGAGAGACCGATTATATAACACACATCGTGGAGTTTAGTGCAGTCCAGACCACGTCCTGTGTTAACTCGAATTGTACCACAGCGAACCCAGTCAAGTGTGTCACCTGATTTGTCTTGTACTGTACACGCTCTCCACTGACCCTTGCGTCAGCGCAACAAGACAAGAGGTCGCTCCCATGTACAGTCGACGCTCAGCCTATCACAAAACATTTGCTCCTCACAATTAGAAATTTAGTCACTCGCGAAATTGACCATTGTGACTAAATTGACCATTGTGCCGATTTCGGGGTACAGTCACCAAGTTGAGGAAGAAAAACATCTACAGTTCATAAACAACATCGGTGGCCCGTCATTTGAAAAGTTTACCTGGTTACGAAATTAAAACCCTTGACTCGATTCACAATGCAATTTCATATTACAGTCACATTTTTGCCCGTGGCGACAAGGGCGAATGTGGCGAAATGTATGAAATACGTTTTACGCACATGCCGCCCGCCTACCTGGTGTTCTTGAAATGAGCACCGACTGTAATGTAGGACCACTTCCCATTGAGCGTGCCATTGAGATTCGAGAAACTCAATCGGTGTGGGCTGAGCCGTACAGTACATGTTGAACCTTGCAGCACGTCTGGCAGCATTCAGGATCAGCAGTCCCTCCCTCCCAACCAAGCGACGTGAGAGGCACTCCACTGCCACACCACTAAAATCCCATTGATAAATGCGGCATCTGGGGAGTTGATAGGGAGGCTCACGATTGGTCCGTCGAAAGGACCGCTTTGGTTCTGTTGGGATTAGGAGGCTTCTATACTACAGTAGTCTTGGCTTGGGAGAATCAGAACGTGTTTGCCAGGCCAAGCTCTGGTGCAGAGTGTCAGGTGGAATATCTCAGCGGAAACGGGTCTTCAAGCCTGACGACCCTCTGACGACTCGACGACATGCTGCCCCGGGCAGAAAAAAACTAAAACCCTTCGGATGGCATGCCATCCGAGGGAGGCATCAACCCTAAATCCATGCCTCCCTGTGTTTAGGGTTGATGCCTCCCTGACTGGATGCATGCCCTTCTGGGGTTTATTTTTTTTGCCCGCGGGCAGCGAGCTCCCCCGGGCGGACTCGCTTGTCCGCTGAGATATACTCTTCCTTATGGCTCGGATGGATTTAGGGCGGAATATCTCAGCGGAAACGGGTCGTCAAGCCTTACGACCCTCTGACGACTTGACGACATGCTGCCCCGGGCAGAAAAAATCTAAAACCCCATCGGATGGCATGCCATCCGAGGGAGGCATCAACCCTAAATCCATGCCTCCCCGTGTTTAGGGTTGATGCCTCCCTGACCAGATGCGTGCCCTTCTGGGGTTTATTTTTTTTTGCCCGCGGGCAGCGAGCTCCCCCGGGCGGACTCGCTTGTCCGCTGAGATATACTCTTCGCATAACCTCAACAAACTCAATGCGAAGTCGACAGTTTGGTAACGGTCTGTGCAAACATGTTTCCTGCTCTAAATTTATGTGGTAATGCTATGAGCATTTCGTATCTCAATTACGTTTCGTACACCAATAGCAGATGAGCAAGATGTGTGACCGGAAGCATCTGACGATTTTTAACGAAGTCGGTAACCCTAACAAAGTTCGGAGCCCCAGCATTCGGACTGTCGATCATCGGTGTTCTGCTTCTTATCCCAGTTCGGTTTGGCAACATAGGTTGAGACTCTATAGCGCCACATCCGCAAGAGTGTTCTTTCTTCCAGATCTGAACATCGTACTCCACCACTTCTCCTCTTTACTCAGCGGCGGGGTGCACCCGAGTCGCCCCGCTGGCCTTTTATCGACGTGTGCTTAATACAGTAAGACAGTGAAACACGTCTGGAAGCGCTCTTCTTCAGTTGTTGCATTTGCACAAAAAAAAGGGGCTCTAAGACTTGGAGGGAATTCAGGACCCACAGTCGCATCGCGTCCAAGAGTCCTCTCGCTCGTCGACCGACGAGGAAGCCCACTGTACAGTACAGTACTTTCTGGATGGCTGGTTGCCATATGGCTCCTCAGGCTGGGAAGGACGAGGCACGTGCCTTGTTTTGCGGAAACGGCGCGGGGCGAGAGGCGAAAGGAGCCATTTCATGTAGTTACCGGAATGCGATCTTAAGATTCGACGCCAGGTTAGGCCGTGGACTCATCATTCTTCCCGTCCCGAGTGCGGACGGGTCACTTGTAAAACAGAGTAGCTGTGACTACTAGATGGCTGGAAACTTGGCTGGAAAGTCTTAGCAGGGCTACTGGAATTGACTGGATGAGGTAAAACTTCACTATGTTCAAGATTAACAAGCCCACTAAAGCACAACTCTATAGGCATCACAAAAAAGACAGATTGAAAGCTCAAACTAGGCTGATAGACAATGTAACTTCCCTGGTAACTTGGGCACAATCTAGATTGGATGGACCTTGAGTGACTTTGAGTGCCACATGAGGTGCATGAATAAGAAAACTTTAGATATTTCTGTTATAGCTGATACTGATGTGTAGAAACCTGTAGAAACTGCCAACACTTCGGTTTGAAGGCAGCTTTGAACTGTATCGAGTCTTCGGCTGAAATCTGATTGGTGGCGGAACTTTCGAAGTACTTCCCGAAGCCTCTGATTCATCGCCGACATTCCCCCTTGCTGCTGCTTGTGTGCAGAGGGCTGGAGCGGCAGAAACCCGATTCTCCAACACTCCCCCTCGCACCAGACCCGAAGCACACATACACCCATGCTGATGCTCCTCTCACATCTCCTTAGCATACACTTCATGCTGCTGCCCACGTCTCTTCTCCTCACACTCCTCATTCTCCTCAAACTGCTCCACTGCTTCATGAAGTGTCATGAGGTCTGCTCTTGCCTTGCACATGTTGAATGCATCATGTGGAAGAACCTTGGTCATGAAATCTGCTGCTTGATTGAATGAACGGCAAAAGTTGACGGCGAGAACTCCCTTTTCTATTTTCTCACGGATGAAATGGTACTGCACCTCGATGTGTTTTGTACGGCCATGATGAACCGGGTTCTTGGATAGGGCGATGGCTGAAGTGTTGTCCACGTAGATCGGAGTCGGTTGAGTTTGCGGCTGCCTAAAGTCCTCCATGAGTCCACGTAACCAGATTGCCTCCCTTGCTCCTTCGGTCATTGCCATGTACTCAGCTTCGGTAGTAGAAAGCGCCACACAACTTTGTTTGCGTGATTGCCAAGAAACAGCGGCACCGCACATGAGGAAGATTTAGCCGCCGGTGGACTTGCGTGTGCTCAATTCTCCCACCCAATCTGCATCGGTGAAGCCTTGGAGGGAGCATGCATGTGGGCTGGCTTGGAAGAGAAGACCAAGATTAGAAGTACCTTTGAGATACCTACGAGCTCGCTTGGCTGCATGCATATGGATGGGTGATGGGGCACTCATGTGTTGAGCTAGCTT